ATGGTCAGCTCCTCCTCCGACGCCAGGCTCGACGAGAATCCCGAACGGCGGCCCGCCGCCCCATTAATGACCCCAGCTACTCCGCCTTCTGCAGGCGCCGGCCTCTGCCAGACCTGCCCGGCCGGCCTCACTGTCCACCGAGCCGGTCGGCGACTACCCCAGCCCATGCCTCCCGCCGGGCGAGCCGGAGAGGGAGGTCCGCTCCGGGGCTCGCCACCCTGCAAACCGCGCAGGCCGCGGCGCCCCAGCCTCACCGGTCCCCGACTCGGGCTCAGCGGCCCATCCGGCCGGCCTCTTCTCAGGGCGCTGCAGGAGCAGGGTCGCGGCCCGGGACGCAGGGATTGGTCCGCGCGGGAGCTTCTCGCCTCCCGCACCGCCTCCGGCCTCAGCTGCCACCTCCGTACCCCCGCCCTCGGCCCGCGGAGCCGAACCTCGGCCAGACCAGGACGGAAGTGACGTCACGGCGGGCAGCCCCCGGGGCGGGCCGCGGGAGCCCCGCCCACCGGCATGAGAGGGGGCGGGCGGCGCGCGCGACGGAGCCCGGGAGGGCGGGTCCTCTGGGGCGGGGGAGGGGGTGTGCGGGGGAAGGGAGGCCTCATTAAGCTGGCTGGGGGGTGGGATCCAGGGACAGGAAGAGGCTCGGGCGAAGGTGGGGGAGGGCGGAGCGGATCGGGAGGGACGGGCTAAACGCAGCGTGGGGGCAGGGTGTGCCGCACCTTCTGGGGGGCGGTGAGGCCGTCTGTGGGCGACCGGTGGGGCGGATCCCCGTGGGGACCTTTAAACACACTGGAGGAGGGGTGCTTAACCGGGGAGTGCGGGGGCCAGGCCTCTGGAGAGACGCTCCGGCGGGCGGGGTCCTCGCAGTGACGCGGAGGAGAAGGAGGAGGTGACAGTTTAGCTCAGGTCTAGTTCAGGAAAAGGGAATCCAGGTTGGGGGACTGGCCGCCAGAGGGCGCTCCGGGGCCAGCCTGGAACTTCAGCGCCCTAGGACACGGTGTCGGCTTAGGCTTCTGAACCCCTCGACCTGTCTGGGAAGGGCGAGCCTGAGCAATCGCCATAGTCCAGAAGTCTGTGTTTTTTTTTTTTTTTTGTTGTGGCGTTTTTGTTGTTGTTTTGGTGCTCAGGGATCCAACCTAGGGCCTCGTGCGTGCCAAGCATGTGCTCTGCCGGTACGCTACAGTCCAGCCCGTTTTCTCTAGCTCTTAATGTCTCCAAAACTTTCTTTTCTCTAAGCAGGTAGGTAGGTCAAGAGACTGAAGTTTAGAAGAATAAAGGAATGGAAAGTTAAATTAAGCAGAATCACCCAGGGGCGGAGCTACAAAGTAAGCCCAAGAGGCCTGACGCCAAAGACTGATATTTTGACATACTAATTGTCCTGCACAGAGTCTTCCTGAGCCTGAGCCGCAGAGCCCTCCCTTTGGGTCAGAGGATCTGAACCGTTTTAGGTAGACTTTGACCCACAGAGATCCGAATTCAAAACTCTTCTTTACTCTGGCTGCCAGCCCACATTGGTACCGTGTGGAACCTGGTCCAAAGAGAAAGGTTTATTCTCCAACAATTCCCTGCGGGGGAAGGGTCCATGGTTATTCAGGAAACGATTGGGAGCAATTTCTTTCCATTTGATCATTACTAAGTGGAAAAGATAGGGTTCTCAGGAGGAACAGGGATATCATTAAGGTATGCTGGCAGATTGGAAAAGCGAAACCAAAGAATAGAAGAAAATTTGTTTTTAATTGATCTGTGAGTTCAAGGCCAGCCTGGTCTACAGAGAGAGTTCCAGGATAGCCAAGGCTACACAGAGATCCTGTCTCAAAAACCAACAAAAACAGTGTTTGCTGCTACTGCAGAAGAACTCAGCATGGTCGCAGAGTTCCCACTCCACAGGATTGCACACCCTCTCCAGGCCTCCAAGGGTGCTCACACACCTGGCATTCCGACACACATATATACCTTATATCTCAAAAAGAGCAGTTACTGCTCTTGCAGACACCTAGTACAATTCCCAGGACCCACGTTTTGACTCAACAACCACCAGTAAAACTCCAGTTCCGGGCTATGCAATGCCCTCTTCTGGCCTCTGTGGAACACGCATGGTATGCATACATACAAACATATAGGCAAAATACTCATATGCAAAAATAAAAATAAATTTGATTATTTTTTTTTTAAAGTTACTTTAACGAATGTTCTGCCACCTCGACTTAAATAAAAAGATGCCACATAAGCTCTCTTTGCTGTGGTCTCCTTTCGAAGCAAGTCCCCCTCTAGGACAGGGTCTCACCGTGTGGCTCTGGAACGGCCATCGAAGCAAGTTCTTCACTGCCTGACCAACCAACCGGTATTTAATGCGCTTGTCCCGTGCTAGGAGAGTGTATTAAACACAAAGTTAAGTAAGATGGTTTCTGCCTGCCACCTTGATGTGTAGAGTCTCTTAGGCTCCTTGCTGTGAGTTGTGTTTGTTTTGAGACAGGATTTTGCTCTATAGCCCTGACTGGGAGCACTTGAACTTCATGGCTGCAAGGATTCCAGTTGCATGCCACCGTGACCAGTTAGATCTCCATCTTTCTTTCTTTCTTTCTTTCTTTCTTTCTGTTTTTGCTTGTTTTGAGACAGGGTTTCTCTATGTAATAGTACTGGGTGTCCTGGAACTCGCTCTGTAGACCAGGCCGTCCTTGAACTCAGAGATCCGCCTGCCTCTGCCTCCCAAGTGCCAGGATTAAAGGTGCACACCACCACTACCTGGCATCTATCTCCATCTTTCTTTTTCTATTATTTGATATCTTTGTCTCCTGCCTTTAGGCGTCTGGAGCCCTTTCTCTCCGGTCTCTCAGACTGTAAGAACGTCATTAGGAATGTTGGGTATACGTCTGTAATCCCAGCTGGATACATAGCAAGTCCTATGTAAGATGTTGTCAAAAAAGATAAAAGCCAAGCAGAACATTTTAAGAATCTGATACCAGGGGCTGGAGAGATGGCTCAGCGGTTAAGAGCATTGCCTGCTCTTCCAAAGGTCCTGAGTTCAATTCCCAGCAACCACATGGTGGCTCACAACCATCTGTAATGAGGTCTGGTGCCTTCTACTGGCCTACATGTAGGCATACACACAGATAGAATATTATATACAAAATAAATAAATAAATAAATATTTAAAAAAAAAATCTGATACCAGCCGGGCGGTGGTGGCGCACGCCTTTAATCCCAGCACTTGGGAGGCAGAGGCAGGCGGATCTCTGTGAGTTCGAGACCAGCCTGGTCTACAAGAGCTAGTTCCAGGACAGTCTCCAAAACCACAGAGAAACCCTGTCTCGAAAAAACCAAAACCAAAAAAAAAAAAAAAAGAATCTGATACCATCCATTTTTACCTTTGCGTGTGTGTGTGTTCAAGTGTGTGTGTGTTCGTGTGTGTGTTGTGTATGGTGAATCCAGGCATAAACCCAGGATCTTGCATATGGCAGAAAGTGCCTCTCCATTGAGCTAAGTCCACAGCCCTGTTTTGTATTTGGGACAGCCTCATTGTGTAACCCAGGCTGACCCGAAACTTAGCGTATGAAAGTCCTGATTCTCCTATCTTCACCAACTAAGTGGTGGGATTCTAGGCATGTGGGGCTATGCCCTGTCTTTGCATGATTTTATTTTTATTAAAATCTTTGATTATATTCATTCGTGTGTGGGGCGCATATATCGTGACATGCATGTGGAGGTCAGAGGACAACTTGGAGGAGTTAGTTCTCTTCTTCCACCATGTGGGCTCCAGGAAATCACACTCAAGAGCGCCAGGCTTGGTGGCAACTCAACCTGCTGAGCCATATCACTGGCTCTACAGGATTTTAGTTTAAGATTTATTTAGGCCAGGCATGGTGGTGCACACCCTTAATCCTAGCACTTGGGAGGCAGGGAGGAGGATCTCTTTGAGTCCAAGGCCAGCCTGATCTACACAGGAGTTCCAGGACAGCTGAGACTACATTGAGAGATCTTATTTCACGTTATTTCATATGTATCAGAGATGAGTGTTTTGCTCGCATGTGTGTCTATGCTTGCTGAGGGCATGCAGAAGTCAGAAGAGAGGGTCAGGATCCCCTGGATCTGAAGTTACGGATGGTTGTAAGCCACTATGTGGACACTGGGAACTAAACCTGGGTCCTTTGCGAGAGCAGCAAGCGCTCTCAAATATTTAGCTTTTAAATGAGTGTGTTTCTTCTCCTAGGCATGTTTACAAATTACAGCTTCACTTCTACTAGGCACAGCCTGAAATCTAGATTTGTTTGTTTGTTTCTCCTGGCCCCAAAGGTCTCGAGTTGGGCTTGGGATGTAGTTCAGTATCAGAGAGCTTGCAGTGTGCACACAAGGCCAGGTCTTGGATCCTCAGCCACACACACACACACACACACACACACACACACACGAGCGGGTGAGACTAAAGGAGGCGCTGTGAAAGCTCATGTTCAGCATGCCTGGTGACATACATAGGCAGCTCTCTAGGAATTGAAGGGATATAATTTTACAAGCAACTAGCAGTTACGTCCGTCTGCCTTTTTTCCTCGCCTCCCTGTCTTCTTCCCCCTTCTCCCCTCCCTCTCTCCCTCCCTCCGTCTACCTCCCTCTCTCTTCTCTGTCCGATCAATGAAGGGCAGGAGTTTGTCATTCACTGGCGTTTCCCCATAGATGATGTGACTCAGGAGGGCATGCAGCTTCTTCAGGGGACAAGGCTGCAGGGACAAGGACTGAATGTGCCTCCTCCATCCACGGATCGTCTGGCTGGAGTCAGTCAGGAAAACCTTGAGAGGGTAGAGCTGGGCCGGGGAAGGGGCCCTCTTTGGTTATGAGGTCACACATCTGGAAACACCCCAGGACAGTTGGATATTTGAACAGGGTGAGGGCGGAGCAACGTTGGGAATAGGGAAATTACAACAGCCTGTTTGTATTTTAAATCGAAAGGCCGTTTACACATTCCTGGAAACTGTTTTTTTTTTTTTTTTTTGATCTTGTACAATACAGCCGCTATGGAAATAGGGAAACCGAGGTAGGTGTGAGGATACACACCTCCTTAACTCATTATTGACAATCAGGAGGTGCTTAAGCTTAACTTCCGTTGGTGTTGAGCCCCTGAGCAGGGACGGGTGGGTGTGGAGATAAGAAGCAGCACGGAACAAGCTAGGAATGGAAAACTGAGGTATAGTGTAGCCCCTTTGGTGGACGCTTGCGCAGAGGGAAGTCCCACCCACCAAGAGAGGAAACATGGGAGACTTCTGTCGGACTCTTGATACTTTGGGGTCCCGAGGAGCACCCGGGAAGAGGAGAAGCTAAATTTGTCAGTCTGGACCTCAGGAATAAAGCCAGTGCTAGAGACTCTGGAGTCACCAGAATTTTGAGTTTTGTGGTTGGTAGCAGGACGGGAGCAGACGTCCCTGATGCAGCAGCCTAGGGAGCATAACATAAGTCCATTAAGTCTCCCTGTCTCGTCCTCGCTACTCTTTCTCTGTCTCCAGCTTCTAGGCCAAGGAAGTCTGTCTCATTTACCTGAGCCTTTCATTGTTTTCTTTACTGGTCCCTAGATAAGCCACAGTCGGTGTAATGCGTGAAAACTCTAAACACACACCCAAGAGAGCACGCAGCAATCGCCTGTATGCAGTAGTGGCCAGTGTGAACGGGAACACAGCAGCCAGAGCTGCTTTCTGACCATTCTAATTACAAATCGCAGGAGCTGGATGTGGGCAAGGAAGCAGGCTGCAGCTGCAGGCTGGGTGGTAGGCCAGTAGTGAGGCATGTGATTAGCATGTGCAGAGTCCTGGGTTCAATCCCCAGCACAGCTCAAAATAAAAAGGGGGGGAGGGCTGGATAGGTGGCTCAGTGGTTGAGACCACATACTGGGCTCTCAGAGAATTGTCACTCCAGCTCCAGGAGACCGGCCCCTCTGCTGACACCTCTACTTCTACGCACATACTCACACAGAGACACACATAATTTAAAGGGGAATTTTTTTTTTTAAGGAGGGAGCTTAAAATAGAGATCTAAGATTGTAGTGTCTGATACGGTAGCCGCTAGGCACATACGGCTATTTAAGTGGGCTGATGGTGTAGCTCAGTGGTATGAGCCTTGATTAGCATGTACTAGGCCCTAAGTCTGACTTTCTACAGAGCAAAAACAAATAGCAAACTTAAATAACTCACTTTATTGGGCTGGAGAGATGGCTCAGTAGTTAAGAGCACTGGCTGCTCTTCCAAAGGTCCTGAGTTCAATTCCCAGCAACTACATGGTGGCTCACAACCATCTGTAATGAGATCTGGTGCCCTCTTCTGGCCAGAATACTGTATACATAATAAAATCTTAAAAAGGATTCACTTTCTTGTGAAACTTGCCATTCTTACTTATTACTGTTTGGAGAAATGGGGTCTTAAACTGACCACGAACTCCCTAAAGAGAACCTGAGTTTCTGATCCTCTTTACCCCACCTCTCAAGGACTAGGATTATGTGGGGGGCTACCACACCTAGTTTATGAGTACCAAGTACTCAACTCAGGACTTCATGCATGAGATTATAACATCTCCGGCCCATGAGCTAGCCATATTTCCAAGCGTTAAGTAATCATGTGTCTATTGTATTGAAAAGAACAGATGACGTCTCCCAGGTCTGGCAGTGTAGGTCAAGGGTAGAGCACGTGCCTGCTATGCATAAAGCCCGTGTTCCAGGTATAACACTATTTAAATGCAGAGTTGGGAAGCACCTATAAATGCTTTCTTTCTTTCTTTCTCTCTCTCTCTCTCTTTCTTTCTTTCTTTCTTTGTTGGGAAGCACCTATAAATGTTCTCTCTCTCTCTCTCTTTGAGACAGGGTTTCTCTGTGTACAGGACTGTGTACAGTCCTGGCTATCCTGGAGCTCACTCTGTAGACCAGGCTGGCCTCAAACTCACAGAGATCCACCTGCCTCTGCCTCCTCTGCTGAGATCAAAGGTGTGCGTCCCCACCGCCCAGCTAAATCTTATCTTTTTTTTTTTTACAGATTTTTCTGACAGTCTAAAAAGGCATTTTGAAGAGTAAATATGAGGGAGAATTTGAGATAACAGCAGCGCTGGACCAGAGTCAGTGCCTCTAGGAGCACAAATGAAGGAGGGGGCAGAGTGAGAAAAGTCAGCCGACTAAAGAGCGAGGCTTGGTGGCACACGCCGTAACCCCAGCGTTCAGGAAGCTGAAGCAGAAGAATAAATACAAGTTTGAGGCCAGCCTGGTCTACGTAGCTAGACCCTGCCTCAAAATGAAAGCCAGCCAAAGGTTCTGAAGAAGTACAATGGTGAAACCGATACTTCACCAAGGAGAAAGTTCGGGAAGGCATGTAAAAGCACTAAAATTCTCCTAGGACAAGGCCAGCCTAAATAGAGGGAATCTGGCTACATAGAAAGTTCAAGGACAGTCTAGGCTACACGTGAAAACCTGCTTCAAAGAAGCAGAAGCAGCATGGTGATATGGTTCAGCTAGTAGAACACTCGTCACACATACTAGCATGTGTGAGTCCTGGGTTCGGTTCCCAGTGCTGTATAAAAATGGTCTTGGTGGTACGTTCTATAATCCCTGCTGTAATCAGGAGGAAAAGAGTCTGGGGTACAAGAGACTGTCTCAAAAAAAAAAAAAAACATATAAACAGCCGGGGAGCCGGGCGGTGGTGGCGCACGCCTTTAATCCCAGCACTCGGGAGGCAGAGGCAGGCGGATCTCTGGGAGTTCGAGGCCAGCCTGGTCTACAAGAGCTAGTTCCAGGACAAGCTCCAAAGCCACAGAGAAACCCTGTCTCGAAAAAAAACTAAAATAAAAAAATAAATAAACAGCCGGGGATATACGTGGGTGGCACAGCTCCTGAAGCATGAGGTCTCAGATTCTATTCTTAGCAAATCGAGAGAAAAACATAACTCTTATACTTCATCAAATTTTAATTGACCTCTTAGTAGCTGTTAGGGACTGTGGAATATAGTGGAGAGAGAAAACTGAAAGAAACGGACATGATTCCATGGAGGCTGGAGAGATGGCTCAGTGGTTAAGAGCACTGACTGATCTTCCATAGTACCCAGGCTCAGCTCCCATGGCAACTCACAACTGTCTGGAAATCCATCAGGTTACCTGAAACTTCCCAGGGCAAAACACCAATGCACATAAAATAGAAATAAATAAACAACTTAAAAAACCAAACATGCATGATTTAGACCAACCCCCGGGTGATTTCTTTTTTTTTTTTTTTTTATTTTCAAGACAGGGTTTCTCCATAGTTTTTGGTTCCTGTCCTGGAACTAGCTCTTGTAGCCCAGGCTGGCCTCGAACTCACAGAGATCCGCCTGCCTCTGCTTCCTGAGTGCTGGGATTAAAGGCGTGCGCCACCACCGCCCGGCAAGTGATTTTTTTTTTTTTGATCACTTTTCTTTAGATGGGTTCTCGCCAGAGCTGGCATGGAACTCACTATGCAGACTGAATTTGAGGCACTCACTCCTCCTGCCTCAGGCTCCAGACCACTGAGATCACAGAGCTGTGTTACCATGTCCTGCTTTGTGAAAGCTACTTTTTTCTTCTCGTTTGCTTGTCTGTTGGCACAGAATCTTACATAGCCCAGCCTGGCTTCACCTCCAACTCTGTATGTAAGATAAACCTTTAACTACTGATCCTCCTGCCTCCACTTCTCAAGCATGGGAATTACAGTCTTGTGGCTCCATGCCCCCCATATGTATGTATGTATATATATATATATATATATATATATATACACACACACACACACACACACACACACACACACACACACTCTGCTGCCGACAAAAGACTCAGACATTCTATGGGCTGGAGTTCTTGGCTGAATAAAAAGGAGAAAGTGAGGGGCCTGGAGAGATGGCTCGAGGGTTCAAAGCATTTGCAGTTCTAGCCAGAAGGCCCAAGTTCAGTTCTCAGCACCCAGGTCCAGTTGCTCTCAACGCCAGTAGCTCCAGCTTCCGGAAATCCAAGTCCTCTTCAGAACTCCAAGGGCACCTGAACATGCCTTTAGCATACACACAATTTCAGCACCGGGAGGGCAGCAGCAGGAAGTTCTTTGTCTGAGGCCAGCTAGGTCTACATAAGAAGTTCCAGGACATGCTGGGTGGTGGTGGCGGCACACACCTTAATCCCAGCACTCGGGAGGCAGAGGCAGACGGATCTCTGTGAGTTGGAGGCCAGCCTGGTCTACAAGAGCTAGTTCCAGAACAGGCTCCAAAGCTACAGAGAAACCTTGTCTCAAAACATCCCCCCCCCAAAAAAGGGGGGGACGAATGGGGGTAATGGGGTTGTGGGAAGCCACTAGAGAGGTAGCTCAGCTGTTAAGAGCACTTACTGCTCTTCCTGAGGACCTGGTTTGATTCCCAGCACCCACACTGAGGCTCACACTCCAGTTGCAGGGTTTCACACACCCTCATCTGGCCTCCTCTGGGGAACGAGGAACACAAGCAGTGCAGACACGCATGCTGGCGAAACATCCACACATATACAATAAAAATAAAAGGACGACGTGCTGGACGGTGATGGAGCACACCTTTAATCCCAACGCTCAGGACACAGACGCAGATGTGGATGAGGAGCTCCGAGCTGGAGACAGAAGCGGACACAGCTGTGGAGCTCCGGCTGGAGACCAGCCTGGTCTATAGAGTGAGTTCCAGGACAGACAGGGCTACACAGAGAAACCCTGTCTCGAAAACAAGCTAACATAAATGCAGTGAGTATAAGTGTGCCCTGTTCCCTCCTGTCTGTGAACGTAACGAAGGCTGCTGCCTCTTGCTCCCACTACCACACAGTCTCCCCTGCCATGGAAAAAGAAAAGCCGGAAAGATGGAAAAGTCACTTGTCCACCAAGACCGATCTGAGTTTGATCCCCAGGATCCACCGGCGGAAGGAGAAAAACAATTCTCACGGCTGTGTTCTGATTTCTGCTCAAGCACACACACACAGCAAATGTAATAAAAAAATTTATATAAAAAGCTTGGCTAACTTCTCTCTCCACTCTCCTTATTTGGAGTTAAAAAAAATTAATATAAAGGAAAAACAGGGAATAAAAAAGAGGTCACTGGGAGTGAAATAAGGATTTAATTTAGGGTGAGGGAGATGGCCCAACTTCTGTCTTCTATCCTCAGTGATAGGTTTTCTTAGCACTCACCTGAGATAAACATACACACTGACATCCACTACAAACACCCCATGAAGCTGCACTAACACACACACACACACACACATACACACACACACACCAGGAAGCTGGAGACTTCACTAAAAACACACACATCAGGAAGCTGCACTAAAACACACACACATACATACACACACACACCAGGAAGCTGGAGACTTCACTAAGAATACATACACACCAGGAAGCTTCACTAACACAAACACACACACACATACACACACACACACACCAGGAAGCTGCACTAACACAAACACACACACATACACACACACACACAACAGGAAGCTGCACTAACACAAACACACACATACATATATACACACACACACCAGAAAGCTGCACTAACACAAACACACACAACAGGAAGCTGCACTAACACAAACACACACATATATATACACACACACACCAGAAAGCTGCACTAACACAAACACACACAACAGGAAGCTGCACTAACACAAACACACACATACACACACACAACAGGAAGCTGCACTAACACAAACACACACACACACACACACACACCAGGAAGCTAAAGACTTCACTAAGAATGAGTTTGAAGCAATTAGAAAGGAACACCTTCCACAGTTGGTAGCAAGACCAACTTCTAGGAACTCAGCCAGATGCCACGGCTTCCAGGGGCTCTGGTCTTTTCTTCTCACCTGGCCTCTCCTTTTTCCCACTTCCAGAAAATGTGTAAGTACAGGTCCCCCCCCCCCCCCCCTTCAACTCGTGGGAAATTTCTCAATTGGACTGTAGAGTAACAGTTCTAGGAATAGGCAGGCCTCCACAAACCTCAGAAGTACTTCTACTGAATGGAGCAAGTGTTGGCACTTAATGCTACTGACCCAGGGCACAGCGACAGACCATAAAGGCCCGTCCTGGTGGGTTCTCAATATCCCATCCCCTCCAAATTCACCCTAAGCTTCCCAGCTGTTTCCATAAAGCCAAACTTTAGGAGTCTGATCTGTGGTCTAACCAGATAGGAAAAGACGAGGGAGCTTCCTCCACGTAGGAGTGTCTTTAGATGCGGCCCTATCACCCTGTAGCATTCCCCCAAGTCCCGGCAGACCCTAATGTCCTGGCTCTTTTAGATGGCCATGCAGTCCTTTGGGCCTTGGGGCAGGATTCCCATTCTCTGCCTCGCCATCTCCCTGGAATTTTCCACTGCAGCTGCCTCCGCTCCCAGACACCCCTCCCTGGGCAAAATTCCCGGCTCCCTGGCTCCCTCCGCCTCCCCTTCCCTAATCACACCTCATTCCCACCCCCAGGCTTGAGGCCCAGCCCACAGTCCAGCCCACTCCCCATGGTCCGTCCCACACCTCCCAGTAACTCTGGCGGCCCCATTTAGAGAAATGGGAAAGTAGGCCCTTTATGTGAAGGTGAACTAGAGGGTCCCACATCTCTTTCCTAGGCTGGAGAGAAACGACAGTGGAGGGGTTCGTCCCCTGTTGGGCTGGAGTTGGGGGAGTGGCCCTCCTCACATCCCCTTATAAGGCAGGGCAAGCAGTTAGGCTCCTGGATTGGCTGATTCAAATGAGCATTCCACCTGGCAACAGGGTTTCCATTGGTTCTCAGGAAAAATAGGAGAAGGTGGATGGAGGTTGTTGGTGGCGGTGATTGGAGGGAGGGGGAGGGGAGTGGAGGTGACCGGAGTTGAGGGCGGTTACCAGGGCAACAGGGTAGGAGCCCAGCAGGGTGTCCGAGACAGCAGGCGGGGCTGGAGGTGGAGTAAAGAGACCAACCCGGAGGGAGCGAGACGGGGCGGGCGGGGGGGGGGGGGGGTTGGAGGGGGAAATAAATGAAGCCAGAGAGGATACAGAGATGGAATATGGTGAGAGGTTGCTAAAGACATCACTCACTGAAATCTGAGAAGCACATTGAAAAGGGGAAATGGAAAGGTATCAGAGAAAAGGTGTACCGATTCCTGCCAGGAAAAACCAGGGTGGGGCTCCCACGATTTATGAGACCAAGACGGAGAAACTGAATAGTCAGAGAAGCCAGGAGGTGTGTACCAGGGACCAAAAGATGGTGTGTGTGTGTGTGTGTGTGTGTGTGCATGTGTGTGGTGGCTCACCCACATGCTAATGATGGCGATGGAGATCAACGATGGCTTCTTTCTTTTCTAAATTTTTTTTGGGGGGCACAACAATATGTCTCACTGTGTTGCCCTGGATGCTACCAAACTAATGGCAATCCTACTGCCTCAGCCTCCCAAGTGCTGGAATAGGTCAACTGGTCAAAAATGTCTTTATTAATGAAAATGATTTGGAAAGGTGAAGAGGAATGATAACAGATAAGAACGGGTGCCCCCACACACACCAAAGACAATCTTTTCCCAAAGCCCGGCCCTCTGCTACATCCACCTTTCCGACCTCGAATCCACATCCCAGCCCCTGCCGCCCCCTTCTGAGATCCCAGGGTTCTCAAAATGATCCACTGCTGCTGAACCTAGGGGTGAGGAGCTGAAGACGCGAGCCCTAGGGTGTGGCGGAAACTCCAGGTGTTTGCAAAGGAGGCCGTGAGAAGACAGAAAGGCTGGGGAAAAGGGCAGCAGAGGAGAGAGAAAAGCAAAGCGAGGAGGATAGAAAGGAGATTTGGTAATCAGCTAAGTGTACAGGGGCAGGTGACTGAGTCAGGCAAGACAACGGTGTTGTCTAGAGAAACGCACGCACGCGGCAGAAGGAATGAGGTGTAGATGGTTGGTTGTAAGGGAGGGGTCTTGGTCAGTAAGAATGAAACAGAAGGACCAGGCAAATAAAAGTGAGATGAGACATGTGACAGGTAAGAAGACAGAGAAAGAGGCAGTAGAGATCAGATGCCTCTGGCTCCCCTCAGATCAAGGAAACAGACGGGAAGAAACCCGCCAAGGACCACAAAAGTCAGGTCCAACCTATGAAAGGTCCGGGCTGTCCTTTGCATTTGCCCTTTGCTCCTCAAGGCCACCTAGAGAAAGCGGACAAGAGCGAGAAATGGAAGTGGCTCGGCAGCCTTGTTCCCCTTCTTTCCGCTTTTGGTTTCTCAAATACCTGCCCAGCTTTTCCATCTGCGCCTCCCCCCCCCCTACATTATGCCCCCTCCCCCGCCCTTTAGTAAAATTTCACCCGCCCTTTAGTAAAATTTCAGGGCTTCGAGGAGGTCAGCAGGAGTCTGGCCACCTCTCCAGTACGCCCCCAGGAGTCAGACTCCAGCTTCGCAGGCAGTAGTAGGCTGGCAATTGGAGCGGTGTCTCCCCGCTAGAACCCCACCCCTTCCCACCTCCTCGCCCCACTCCGCTCTCTCCCGAGCCGTCAGTCTCTCCAATGCCCCCTCCCGGTCTTGTCCTTCCTCCCGCCCCGCTCGCTCTCCCGCCCTTCGCTTTCATCCTCCTATCCCCACCTCTCCACCCTCCTCTTTCATCCCCCTCCCCTCTCCTCTCCTCCCCGCTCCCGCCTGCCCCACCCCTGGGAAGCCCCTCCCGTCGGGCAGCGCCGCCTTAAAAGCGGGTTCCCTTGCCGGGGGCGGCAGCGGCTGGTCGGCGGCAGCTCTGCTGGTGCGGGGGCGGCTAGCAAGACCGAGCGACCGCGACCGGAGCGCGCCGGCCACCGCCCGCATCACCCTCCCGCCCGCCCTCCGGACGGCTGCAGCTCTGCGGGTCTAGCTCGGGACCTACCCCCGCCCCACCCCGCGCGCCTCTGCCGCCTCTTGCAGCGAGCCTGCTTGCCGAGCGGCCGTCGCTGCCACTGTCGCCGTCGCCACCGCGCCAAGTTCCGGCCGCGGCCACCCTCCGCCGTCCAGGGCCCCTCCGCCTCGGCCCCGGGATCCCGGCTCCCCGCCAGCCCCGGCCCCGGCACCATGTCGGAGAAGAGCGTGGAGGCAGCGGCCGAGCTGAGCGCCAAGGTACGGGCAGGGGCGGCGGCGGCCCGGAACCCCAGCGGCCCCGGGATCGGCGCGGTCGTTCTCGCCCGGTCGCCCCCGACGGCCCCGAGCGGCCCTGGCGCCGGGTCCCCACGGACCCCGCTGCGCCCTCCCCCCGCTCGGAGCCCGGCGCTGCCTACCGCGCTCGGCGCCTACCAGCGCCCTCTAGCGGCCCAGCGCGCGTTGGCTCGGGCCTCGCCGCCCGGCCCCGCCACCCCACCCCTCTCGTGCCCCGCCGCGGCCCGGTCCGCCCTCCCGTCGGAGAGCGGGTCCCGCCTCCCGGGCCCGGTGTCCATGCCGCGGCTCCAGGTCTCTTAACAGTATGACCTCACCTTTCCTCCGCTAAGCGGTTTGGGATCCTCAAGTGTAAACAGGACTCTCGGGGGAGGCTACTCCTCGGCCCCTCCCCTCGCGGCCGGACCGTCTGTGCTCGTCCCCGGAGGGCTGCGCCTCTCCTGCACCCTCTTTTCTGCCCATCCTCATTCGTTCTCCCTCCACCACCGACTTCCAGTTTTCTCTTTATTGCCTCCCCTCATGTCGAATCCCTAAAAATCAAAAAGGTGGAGAGAATAGCCTTCGAAAAAGCCGAAGCTCAGCATCACCTGACCATACGTCAAGCTGTCTTTGCTCTCAGCAGCTACCTTTCCCGGCCTCATCCCTTTACCCTTGTCTCTCTTCCAGCCTTCCTCTAATTTCCCCAGGGATACTGCGGAGTGTCGCTTAGGGAAATTAATGCGGCCAAGCTTGGGGGCTGGGAGCCTTGTCTCTTTTTTTGGGGGGGGGGGGAGGCAGTATAGTTCTGGAGGCTCAAGTGGAAGCGGGGGATCTAATAGCATGAAAGGCAGTGGGAGAGGGGACATGTGAGATTTGACAAGGTGTGCCTGTGTAGCCCTCCGGTGGGTTGTGCGGTGGCATGTGACTTCACTGAGTAGGCGTCTTTGTATGTCTGAGATCCAGCGAGTGTGTGGGACTGCCCGTGTCAGTTACATGTGTGCATGTGGAGACTGAGATGTTCCGGAGGCATGAGGCCGCTTTGTGAATGCCGAGTGGCTGGCTACACTGTGGTCCTGTGAGAGTGTGCCAGAATGCCCAAACATTGGGCCATGTGTCTCTAGAGCGCGTGGGCGCTCCCCTGTAGAGTTGGTGTTAGCCTGTCTGAGCTTGTGTACCCGTGTAGAGGTCAGAGAGCTGCTCAACACTGGCGGCAGGTCTCATACCCTCCTGGAAAAGAGATCATGGGAGGACAGTGACCAGAAGGACAGGACCCGGGAGCAGAGGGGCCAGTCCTGTGGACTTTGGTCTCTGGAAGTCTCCCTTCCCCTCACCCCTCCCTCAACCCCGATGGGAAACTCAGGCCAGGGCCTGACACAAGCTATGCTGACTTAGTCCCTGCCTGGCCCAGGATGTAAGGGAAAGCTCACCTGGTAGAACAAGTGCCAGATCCACCATGTGACAGAAATGACAGCAAAGCAGAATGAAGAAGGAACCTGCCTGGAGCCAGAGGGCCAAGCGTTCTTGTGCTCTGCTCTCCTAGAGGGAGAAGAGAGCCGAGTGTCCCCAGGCCGGTCATTTGGCACCAAGTCCCTCTTCTACCCCAGTCTTGTTCAAGAAAGGACACGTCCTTCTGGGACGATCTACTTGTGAAAACTCCGACCCACTTGGGATCCTGCACCCTAGAGTTGCATACTAACATGAGATAAGATCATAGGAGAACGTGTACCTGCCAAGGAGTGTGATGGGGGAAAAGCAGAGTCTGCATGGGATAGGAAGGCTCCTCTGTCCAGAGGGGCTTACCCACCGGAGCAGTTCCCTCTGTCGGGGCACCTGCTGGGATCTCAGGATGAAGGGGAGGACAGTGGGGGGGAGGCTCTCTATAGGTAACACCCACCTTCCCATTCGGGCACAGACTTCGCTGTGCTGGCTCCTTCCTGTGTCTTTCTTTTACCAGACTTTCCCTTTATGCCCACTGAAAATGGCCACTTCTACTCACCCATCCCAGTGCATAGCCCATGAAGGTGGAGAGGAGGGGACACCGAAACTGTCCCGTTGGGGATAGGAACCGATGTGGAAACATGCTAGGGTGATCTTCACACCCCTGTGCTGCTTGGCCAAGTAGGAACGGAAGGATTAGGGAGACACAGACAGGGAAACAAAGACCTCAGAAGCTGAAGAGGACGCTGGGAGGGTGCCCAGGGGAGAGAGTACTTAGGCAAAGGCCCCTGAGGAAGACAAAAGGCAGAGCAGGGCAGGCAGAGAGGGTGAAGGGGGTGGAGCGTCGAAGCTGCCAGCAGATGGGGATTTGCTTTGTGGAGCTCAACTCTTAAGCCAGGAGAGGTCTGGAAGAACTTGACAGGGTGGGAGCTTCAGTTACTCCCCTTCCCCGTTTTCCAGCTCCCCTTGGGTCTTGGGGAAGAAAGTCTGGTACCAGCCAATTACGGCCCTGAGGACTTGTGTTTTGCCTTAAACTGTGGCCACTTTTCACTCAACACCTTTGACCTAGCTGCAGAGTTTGAGAAACAGACTGGGGGGGACTCAAGGTTGTGCACCCTTAGTGCTGAAAGGTGGCCTTCTGCCTTGCAGGACCTGAAGGAAAAGAAGGAGAAAGTGGAGGAGAAAGCTGGCCGGAAAGAACGGAAGAAAGAAGTAGTGGAGGTGTGGAGACCGCAGGCAGAAGATGGTCCCACTTTGTCCCAACGTCCTTCCTACCTTCTTTTGCCTTCCTGGGGGTGTGGGGGGTCCTGCCTTTCTCTTGATTCCCCCCTCATTCTTTCCCTACCCTGAGTCTTTTTTATCACCCAGTGGGTGGCCACACTGCCAGCCTAACCACTCTCCTTGTCTTGGTACCCACAGGAGGAGGAGAATGGAGCTGAGGAGGAAGAAGAAGAAACTGCTGAGGATGGAGAAGATGATGATGAAGGAGATGAAGAAGGTAGGGAGGGGCAGGGGAAGCTGGGCTGGAAAAGCTAAGGCTCATAGGAGCAGAGGCAGGGAGCAGTTGAAGACCAGAAGTCAGGCTGAGGGGAACTATGGATTGGTTGTGGGTCTGTGCCCGGAGCCGCCCATCTTCCCCATTGACTTGTTTCTGGCTCTTCAGATGAGGAAGAAGAAGAGGAGGAGGATGAAGGCCCAGTGCGAAAGAGAACTGCTGAAGAGGAGGTTTGACTGGGTTGGGACCCGAGGGACTGTCAAGAACATAGCAGGGCCCTTTGGAGTCGGACCCAGGTCCTTGTGGCACAGGCAGGGGCTGGAGCAGGGCCAGCAGGAAGAGGGGGAGGTCCCCTTTGTACAGCAACCTCAACTCTTATCCTTTCCACAGGATGAAGCAGATCCCAAGAGGCAGAAGACAGAAAATGGGGCGTCGGCATGAGCCCCTGCCTGTGGGCTTGGGGATGGGAGGCCCCTCAGGTCCTGGAGGTGGGGCAGGAACACACACATACAGGCCCCCTTCTCCTGGCTCCCTGCTCTGGCCCTGCCCCAGAGCTGTGACCCTTGTCCTTCCACCCAGCCTCATTTCCATCTCTCCAGACACTGCTCCTCCACCCTCACTGCCATAGGTCCAGCTCCTGATCCGCCTCACCTGAGCTCCCCAGCCGGCCCTCACTTGCTCCCTTGCATTCCTGGTTCTTCCCTGCCTCCCTCACCAGCCCATCTGTCCCAGCCCCTTGCAAAGCCTGTCCTTACCCTCTGCACCCCCAGCCTCTCAACCTGCCCTTCTCTCTCCTGCCTGATCCCTGGGTCTCCCTCAGATTCCCTCTCAGACAGCGCCAGGCCGGGGTGGGGCCGGGGTTGGGGTCAAGCCCCGAAGCTGCCCCCCTCCCCTTTTTGTATAATTTAATAAAGAAACGGTCGCGCTTCTGTTTTTAACCTGTCTCCTGATTTCCTGTGGTCCACTCAGTGCCTGAAAGGGTAGAGAAGGGGTGGCTGACCCCATATCCGGATGGCAGAAGATACAACTAGCCCTCCGGGGTGGACTAGGAGCCCAAGGTCGTCTTCTAGGGGCTGACCTATGGTCTGTTTTGGGTTCCTGGGGATGTTTCTCCTCAGCAATGCACACTATCACGTTAGCCCACACAAGATCTAGACACTGCTGAGCCCAGTGGAAACCTACTGGCTCTGTTGTGCTGAACCGGGCAGATAGAAACAGCTCTAGAAACAGGAAGTCCCGCCCCAAAGGGGAAGAGGCTGGCAGGCTTGGATTTCAACCTAGGGTTTGAAAAGAACTACCAAGCAGGGACATGTTTTGACAAGTGGGAAGTAGGGTCCTCTTAAGTCAAGCAGGGGATGGCTTCACAGTTACTTATCAGGTCTGTCTCCTTGTCACCTCTGATTTTCTCAGCTGGACTGAGCTGGGGAGTAAGAGTTGGCAGATTCCTCTAGTCCTGCCTCGGTTCCCATTATTTTAAAGCAGTCTGGCTATGCAGCCCTGGCTGGCTTCAAATTCACAGAGAACTGCCTGCCTCTGCCTTTCAAGTGGGAGAGAGGTCTGTTGTTTGTGGTGTTGTTGACACAAGGGATACCTTGTGGCCCATGATGTCCCTGAATTCACTAGGTAGCCCAAGCAAGCCCAGAACCAGTTCTTCCTGCCCCTACTTTCCAAAATGTTGGGTCACAGTTCAGTACTGCCATTCCTGACTCCTCAGTTTTTTCTCAAGTTTGCTCTGCTTCAAGATTTAGGCATTATTCCGTCTCCATAAACCCTTGCCTTCATTTTTTTAGTACAGAATCATTAGGCAGGGGCAGCTTTGAAGACGGCAAAGTATCATATGGTCAGAGCTGGAGGGAACTATCTGATGAACTCATCAGTTATGAGTACCTGCTGCCCTTCCAGAAGACCCGAGTTTGGTTTCCAGCACCCAGGTTCGGCAGCTCACAAGCCACCTGTAACTGCAGTTCCAAGGAGTTTGACACCCTCTTCAGACCTCTGGGCAGCAATCACCATCACAGACACATAAACAGAAATAAATCCTCAAAACAAGTATCCATTGTCATTCTCTTCCTAGAAGATGAAAAAAACCACTCCAGTAGTGCCAATAGTATCAGGACTAGGGCATGCCTTCATGCCCCCTAACCCTGGCAAGTTATTGAATGCCTGTGAGCCTCAATTTCCTCTGTATTTTCACAAGTTGCTTTATGGAAAATGTATAATACTATAAGTAGCATAGACTGAAGATTACCACCATGTAGCTACTATACTGTGCCACCAAACCCTTCCTTGTTAGATCTGCTAACTTGTGGTTCGGGGGTATTTCCTGTGTACCTGCCCAGGAGATGCGGAGTTCTCCTGGAACAAGTTCTTGGAAAGTTTATGGGAAAGAGCCCGTGAAGAAGAAAACGTGACTGCGGGGACATAAGAGGCAACTTAGAGATAACAGCTGTCGTTCTAGGCAGACATGCTTGTCAGAGAACCCAAGAACCCGGGAGAGGGGGGCAGAGGGGGAAGAGGTGAAGAGGGGGCGGTGGGGAGACCCGGGTCTGAGGAAGTAAACAAGAGGAGTACCACAACAGACGGAGGGCTCTGCTGCTGGGAAACAGCCCCCTCACACTTTCCACTGCGAATCGAAACCCTGAGCCCTGGGCTGGGGGGCGGGCAGTGGGGAGGGGAAGTGGGGAAGGTGGAAGGGAAGCAGAAGGACTTCAGATGCAGATGAGCATCCCAGCTCACTGCGTGGCCTTGCGTCTACTCTGCTCTCTGCCCCAGCCCTGCCCTGTCCCAGGGGTGTGTCTCCCTCCCACCCCCATCTAGCCAGCTTCCTCTGGTCTCCAGCGTCTGGTCGTTGGCCCTCCTCCCTCTCCAGACCCCCCACCCCCTCCTGGGGGTCGTCTTTACCCTACATTCTTTCACCCTGCCTCACCTCCCTCCTTGTAGAACTTTTGTTTTTCTTCTCCCAGGACCCCTTTCTGACCTCTCTTGGAGGGCTAGGGAGGCCCAGGCCATAGAGGAGATGAGGGAGACTCTGCTCCTAGGCCTTCTGCTTCTGAGACTGCTGTGGGAAGCTCCAGGTAAGATGGGGAGTGGGGAGAAGCCAGCAGGGGCCTCTGTGACCGGGTCTCTTTAGCACCATGATGGGCTTCTAATGCCTTGTTTTTTAAAAGGACAATCCTTCCAATCCTAAAGCCACCTCAGTCTCCCCTTGACAGGGAGGAATGATATTTCTCTCTCGGAACGCCGAGGCCTTTCTCTATTCTCAGATCTCTTGACTCATAGCCCGTGGTCTCTCTGTTGCTCCCCTAGCCGTGGTTTCAGAGCCTGGGAGAGAGGACTCCGTGGTGTGGGCCCAGGAGGGGGCCCCTGTCCATCTTCCTTGCAGCCCCCAACTCCCCCACCGGAATCCCGACCTTCTACGAAGAGGAGTGGTCACTTGGCAACATCAACCAGATGGGTATGCACCCCACGGTCGGGCGACAGAACCTCTCAATCCAGTTCTAATGGCATTCTGATAAAACCCCGTCCGATGGCCAGGCAGTAGTGGCCTTTAATCCCAGCACTCAAGACGCAGAGGCAGGTGGATCTCTGTGAGTTTGAGGCTAGCCTGGTCTGCAGAGTGAGTTCCAGGACAGCCAAAGAGAGAAACTGTCTCGAAAAAAAGAAAAAAAAAATCCAAGCCAGTTTTGTCCGCTCTGTGAGTCCCTCAGAAGCCAGTTGCTCGGCCTCTCCACACAGTCTTTTAGTGCCTTCTCTGCAATCTGTGGTCCATAGTCTGCCACCTCTCCAGCAGCAGATGGGGTGACTGGGGGTGGGAGGGGGAGGCTGCTAATGGTCGAGTGCTCTCTTAGGCGGGTTGCTTTATCCTCAAGAGTGTGTTTAGAGTGTATCTCTTTACGGCTTTTTTCAAATTGCCTCGGAATTCCTCAATCCTATTTCCCACTCCGCCCCTGCCCTTGACCGTCTCAGGGGGAAGCCCTTGCCTGGGAGGTCGGCCCCCCATCGCTACACGGTGCTGAGCGTGGCTCCGGGAGGCCTGCGCAGCGGGAGGCTGCCCCTGCAAAGCCGCGTGCAGCTGGACGAGCGCCGCCTCCAGCGCGGGGACTTCTCGCTGTGGCTGCGTCCAGCCCGGCGCGCCGACGCTGGCGAGTACCACGCTGTGGTGCGCTTCCCGGACCGCACCCTCTCCTGCCGTCTCCGCCTGAGCGTCGGCCAGGCCTCGAGTAGGTGGGGCGGGACAAAGGGAGAGGGGCTGGGAAGCAGGTCCCCGTCGCCCCAAGACAGGAAGAGCCCTGGCCCTCCCTGAGGGCCTCCAGAAGTGTTCAGGAAGGGGTGACCGCTTGATGGCAGGGTGGAAAGTGCCCCCCTAAAATGCATGCCTCTAGGCGGGAGTGAGGGGGCTACGGAGAAACTGTATCACATACCCCAGCTCCTTCCTCCGCCCCCCAACCTACAGCGGGAGTGCCCTCCCTAGTGGAGGTAGAAGAGGGAGGGCGCCTCTTCTTTGGGGGTCTAGAGTGACTCATTTAAGACATCCATAGCTCATCCTCAGGCAAGGTCTGCCCAAAGAACAGGCCAAGTAAAGTAAGTGAAGGCAGGAGACTGAGGAGTCCTGGGTCTCTTGTTAAACATCCCAGGTTTCAAGTACTGAGCTAGAATGGGAGGCTGTAAGGATAATCTGAACACAGCGTCCCTGTTTCCATGAGTTTTCAGCTTGCTTGGGCTGGCTGCATTGAGAAAGTGTTTCCATCTAGTCCACTGATTGGTCCTTTTTACTTTCTCACAGTGATCGCCAGTCCCTCGGGACCCCTCAGGCCGTCTGATTGGGTCATTTTGAACTGCTCCTTCAGTCGTCCTGACCGCCCAGTCTCTGTGCACTGGTTCCAGGGTCAGAGCCGAGTTCCTGTCCACAAGTCCGCCCATCACCACTTAGCTGAAAGTTTCCTCTTTCTCCCACAAGTCAGTCCCCTGGACTCCGGGACCTGGGGCTGTGTCCTCACCTACAGAGATGGCTTCAATGTCTCTATCACACACAACCTCGAGGTTCTGGGTAACTCTCCCAAGCTGTCTTTACTCTTGACCCCTTTCTGCCGCCCACCTTTTCTGACTCATGGGCCCCCCAAACAGGTCCTCCGCTGCCGTGTCCTCTGTGGGAGTCTTTTAGCTGCCATCTCTACCCTAGTTTGTCCCTTGGCTGCCCGTCCTTTGGTATCCTGCTGGCTCAGCACAGTCTGCGTTTTCCAGCTTCCCTAGCCTGTCTGTTTCTTTATTCTGTTTCTTTGTGTGTTACTCCCAAGTACCTCCTTCCTATCGTTCTCTGCCTTCCTTCCTCGAAGTTCCTGCCCTCTGTCCCACTGCATACCCACCCCTGGGCACTGATCTTGGCGTTTCCTTTCCCCCCAGGTCTAGAGCCCCTAGCTCCTCTGACAGTGTATGCTGCTGCAGGCTCTAGGGTGGAGCTGCCCTGTCATTTGCCCCAGGCTATGGGGACCTCTTCTTCACTCACTGCCAAGTGGACTCCTCCTGGGGGAGGCTCTGAGCGCCTGGTGACCGGGAAGAGTGGCAGTTTTGCCCTTCGACTTGAGACTGTGGGTCTGGAGCAGGCTGGGACCTACACCTGTAGTGTCCATCTGCAGGGGCGGCAGCTCAGTGCTGTGGTCACTTTGGCGGTCATCACAGGTCAGCCGCAGGTGGGAAAGGAACAGCTTTTCCTCTTCAGGGGAGAGTGTTGTTGTCAGAGACTGTGCGGATGGGCTCCATGATGCTGGGCCAGTCCACTCACGCATGATGTCTTCCCTTTTCAGTTTTTATGGGGGGGGGGGGGAGAACAAGCATATGATGGCTGCGTGTCCCTCAGCACATGTGGAGGTCACAAGACAACTCTGGAGTCAGTTTTTTTCCACCCACCTTTTTTTGGGGCTCTTGGGACTGAACTCGGGGTGCCAGTTTGCCTGGTAAGCGCCTTTTCTTCCATGACCCAGACTGCTGTGGCTTAGGCTTAGGATGACTTTGAACTCCTGATCCTTCTTCCGCTTTCTAAGCACTGGGGGGGACAGACAGATACTACTGTGCCTGTTAAATTATGGGCTCATTTCTTGTTTTGTTTTGTTTTTTTTCTTCTTTTCGAGACAGAGTTTCTCTGTGTAACAGCCCTAACTGTTGCTGTCCTGGAACTCACTCTGTAGACTAGGCTGGCCTCAAACTCGGAGCCCCAGCCTCTGTGTCCCAGAGTGTGGGAGTTAAAGGCAAGCACCACCGCCACGCCCGGTTAATGGGCTGTTTTTTTTCACCCCCATGATAAAACAAAAGAAAAAACAAAACCGAAACTGAAAATCTCCCCTTGACTCACAAAATAAAAATCCCACTTCTTTTCTAAGGGACTCCCCTACTCTGAGCTGGCAGAAGGTTGAGGAGTTAGAAACAGTAGGTAAGATTTTAAATGGTTCAAAGGAGGCAGCATATATTCTCAATTCCTTGCCTGCTTTTGGCCTGGGACTTGGTTAAAGCTGTGCGAGTTGACCTGGATTCCGAAGGAGTTAATAAATCAGTCCCTAGTCAGCAAATATTTGTTAGGGTTTTCCAAGACAATATAAAACAAAAACAGGCCAAAAAAAAAAATCAGAAAGTACGTGTTCATTGATTGGCAGCTACCAGCCACGATGATTAGCTGTGTCTGCAGTGGTCACCTGTGGCCGTCAGCCACATAGTAGGTGCTTGGTAGTGTGCACTGGAGCCAGACGTGGCACAGGGCTGTAATCCCAGCCCGTGGCGGCAGGCTCAGGAATTCAAGTATGTAGTGAGTTCCAGACCAGCCTGGACTACTTGAGATCCCGTCTCAAAACAAGAAACAAAGAAATATTGATTACATGACCAAGTAAACAAATTAACAAACAACATATCTCTAGGCTGTTAACCCTGAATCCCCCTCACCTTATCTATAACTCTGTCTGGACATATTATCTACCCCTCAGCTTCACTGGGAACCCCGTCTTTTCATGTCAGCCCTTTGCTAACTCAGTCTATGGGTAAGTCCACTGGAATTCCACACCCCCCTAACTCTTCTTTGCCGCATTCAGTCAGTCCTCAAAACCCACCCATACTTCTGCCCAATGCTAATGACCAGTGTCTTACTGGCTAAATATCTGCGGTGCTGAGCTTGGCCTTGAACTCCTGAACTCTTGATCTTTGGGCCTCTACCTCCAAGTGCTGGGGTTACAAGTATGACCCACCATGCCTGACCTCCAATGTCCCCTTCTTCCTTCTTCACTTCCTTCTTTTCTCTTTTGACACAGAGTCTGATGTATCCCAGTTTGGCCTGAAACTCACTACATAGTGGAGGATGGTCTTGAATTTTTAATTCTCCTGCTGCCATCTCCCAAGTGCTAGGATTATAGACAGACGAACAGCTACCACATCCAGTTTCTGTGGTGCCGGGCACCGAACCCAGGCCTTCATGTTGCCAGGTAGCTCTATCATCTGAGCTAAACCACCAGCCCTCCAGTGTCTTCTGAAAGATCAGCTGTGTTTAGCCACTCGGGGGGGGGGGGGGGGGACGTGATACTGTCATTCCTGCTTTACAGAGAAGGCGTGGTCTCAAGGTGGTACCACCGGGAGATGCTAGGCCCGGGTCTAAACTTGAAACATGGATGTCTGTGTCACCAAGTCTCCCACATGCTGTGCTCAGCAGGGTGCAGGCCCTTCGCCATTTGCCAGCTACCACCCTATTTCTAGTCAGCTTTGAGATGCTCTGCTTGTGCATCCAACAGTTGGTTACTTGTTTCTGTGAACATTCAGGAAGGGGTCATGATGTCCCCTCAGAGGTGGCACGGAGATGGCATTACTGGTGTGAGCAAAGTGATTGAGGCAAGGGAAGTTGTTGGGAGTGCTGGCGCTAATCCACCTGACTGATCATTGAGAGTCTGAGCCTTGTAGAAGACAGTAAGCTTGTGCGCATGTGTTTCTGTGTGAGTATGCACATGTGCGGTGTCAAAGGAGATAAAAAGAAAGTGTTGGATTCCCTGGAGCTAGTGTTACAGGCGATTGTGAGCTGCCAGGCGTGGGTGCTGGGAACTGAACCTGGGTCCCCTGGAAGCACAGTTAACTCCGATAACTTGGTAAGCCCTGAACCATCTCTTCCTTTTTATTTTCTTTAAAAATGTATTTTATAAAGCCAGGTGGTTGTGGCATACTCCTTTAATCCCAGCACTCAGGAGGCAGAGGCAGGCGGATCTTTGAGTCTGAGACCAGCTTGGTCTAGAGAACAGAGCAAGTTCCAGGACATCTAGGGCTAGACAGAGAAACCCTGCGTGAAACAAACAACAACAAAGGGATGGGTAGCGGTGTCCTATGCCTTTAATCCTAGCTCTCTGCAGGCAGAGCACAAGGATCTCTGAGTTTGAGGCCAGGGCTGTAATATAGAGGAACCATGTCTCAGAAAAAGAAAAGAAAAGAAGGAAAGGAAAAGAAAAATTTTATTATATGTGTATGTATATTTTTTTGGACTTGTACATCTGTGGCTGATGTCCCCAGAAACAGGAGGGGGCATCAGCCTCCTAGATCTGAGTTACAGACACGATTATGAGCTGCCAAGTATGTACTGGGAATCAAACTTGGGTTCTCTGGAAGAGCAGCAAGTACTCTTAATCACTGAGCCATCTTTCCAGCCTTGTTTTCTTTTAAAACCAAGGTCTCCTGTAGCTCAGCCTGACCTTGAATCCAGTGTGTACTGGATCTTTAACTTCTGATTTTCTTGTATCCACACCCAGTTTATGTGGCGCTGGGGACTGGACCCAGGGACTTCTGTATTCTGGGGAAGCATTCTGTCTGCTGAGGGTCAGCCCCAGCATGGATAATATTGCTCATGTGGCCTTCAGTACCAATCTGAGTTGAATATAATGTCTGAAGTGTTGGGAACATTTTGAGCAGGGGAAGTAATCAAACTAGAGTGCTGTTTTAAGATTCCTGTGGCCAGGTGGGACGTCCCTGTGATCCCAGTACTTACAAGATAGAGCCAGAGGATCAGGAGTTCAGGGTTATCTTTGGCTACCGTAGTAAGTTCAAGGCCAGCTTGAGCTATTTGAGACCCCAAGTCTCAAAAACATAAACAAAACCAGAGATAAATGTAGTCACGTCCTGTGACCTCTTCTCCTGAGGTTTTCCCAATCAGATCGCCAATGAGAGTAAGGTGACAGAGATGTGGGATTGTAACTTTGATAACCAAGGGGTCAAGACCCCCACAAGAGTTCTTTCTTCTAATTTTTCAGTGACTCATCAGTCCTTGGGGTTACCTGGCTCCCTGGGAAAGCTGATGTGTGAGGTGACCCCCGCATCTGGACAAGAAAGATTTGTGTGGCGCCGCCTGAACAATGGTTCCAGGAGTTCTCCGGGCCCTGGGTTGGAGATACAGGAGACCCGGTTCCTTGCTGAGCCTTGGCAATGCCAGCTTTTTCAGGGACAGAAGCTTCTTGGAGCAGCGGTGCACATCGCAGAGTCTAGCCCAGGTCGGAGGCTCCAAAATGCCGTGACCCCAACTCCAAAGCCATCACCTTGGTCATCTCCCAAGTCCTGTACCCCCACCTCTTCCCCTTCCCAGTCAGCGACCTGACTTCGAGCCCTCCAAGCCTGACCTGTTTCTGTCCTTAGCTGAACTATTCTGGACAAGTCCCTTAAACTCTCTGACCTCATTGAATCTGTAAAGGATGAGGGTGTAGCGCGGTGTCCTTTTTCATCCCCGACCCTAAGTCTAATCCTGCGCTTTCTTCATAGGTGCCCGCAGTGCAAGGAGAGCCTCAGGTGACCTTAAAGGAGACCATCTCTTTCTCCTTCTGATCCTCGGCACTTTCTCACTGTTCCTCGTGGTGACTGGGGCCTTTGGCTTCCACCTATGGAGAAGACAGGTGAGCCAGGGACACAGTTCCCTCTCCTCAGAGTGCTGTGCGGGACCCCTTCCTTGAGGAAGATAACCATGATGAATTCTGAATATACTCCCAGCGCCCTTGTACTGGGAATACCTTAGGGCTAGAAAGTTTAAAGGGGCCAAAAGGAGATCCTGAGCCAGATGGGGAAGGCTGGAGAAAAAGCGGTACGGTCAGGATTTGTCCTGTTCCTTCCTTCTCCTTCCTCTCCTCCTTCGTCTTCCATTGTCCTCTCTGTCTCTCCCCACAGTGGCTATGGAGAAGATTTTCTGCCCTAGAGAACAGGATTCACCCACCTCCCAGTCTGAGTAAGACAGAGGAGCTGGAGCGAGACCTGGAGATAGAGATGGAGCAGGAGCCAGAGCCGGAGCCGGAGCCAGAGCCGGAATTGGAGCAGGAGCCCCAGCCAGAGCCAGAGCCCAGGCAGCAGTGACCTGGAGCTGAGTGGCCAGCAGATCTCAGCAGCTCCAGCCAGAATAAATTCCCTGTCAGCAGCAGCAAGCCAGAGTCTGACTCTTTCTTGTCCAGGGACGGTTCCTGTCTTTCCCAGCCACTGGGGGCTCCCTTCTCCCACTCCAGCCGCCCAACCTACTTTTCTAGCCAATCTTTCTCCTCATTCCCTCGGCTGTCATTCCCTCTTCTGTTGCTTGCCTCTTTGTTTCTCTTCTCTGTTGCTCCCTTTCTCCCGAGCAATCCCTTTCCCCCACTAAAGCTCCAGAGATCACCCACGTCTTTTCCGTAGCCCTTTCTCCACGTTCTACCCACATTTTGTTGGCTGTCCTGGTCTCCTTTATGTGCTTGTCCCTTTTGCCCGACAGCAAGCTCAGCTGTACCTCAGCATTGTGCTTAGACTCCTAACTACAGTGACGGGAGACACCGGCAGGCAGACACGCACGCACGTGCACACAAGCCAGCCATGTGAAGTCCTCCAGGAGATGGGGGCCCCCTAATCTTCCTGGGTAACCAGCTGACGTTGCTACCTCTGCCCCATCCCCCATGTTTGTCATCCCTGGGTGACTTTTCTGGTCCCAGACATGACAACACACTGCCACCTAGTGGCCACTGCTTGTCACAACCCCCGAGGAGGTCCCCAGACCAACTGTCGCAGGCCTGACATCTAACACACTGCAGTAGGCAAGATGGAGCAAGCATGCAGGTGTGCTTTCGGGGTGTGCAGCACCGAGTGTGCTCACAGAATCTGTCACATGTCTTATTTATCCTGCAGAAGAGGGACTAAACAATACAAGTTTCAGGAAATACATCCCTGGTCCTGGCAAGGTTATAACCCAAGTATGACAACGGAAAGGCTCTAAACAAAGTCCGCAGGTAGGGATGGAAACAACCCACGAGGCAGCTGGGTGTTGCTGCAGCCGTGGGAGTCAGAGTCCTGGATTCTCACTCTCTTACTGCTGGTGAGGCTGTTGCAAATCTCTCTGACCCTTTTGTTTTCTAGCCTATTAATTGGGACAATGGCCAGGTACAGAGGGGACGGAGACAGGAGCATCCCCTTGGGTCCAGGAGTTTGGACAAACACTGGTAACATATGAGACCCCATCTTTAACATAATGGATGTAGAGGTGCCTGCCTATAATTCCAGTATGTGAAAAAGTTGGCTACCTAGTAAGTTTGAGACCAGTCTAGGCTACATCAGACCCTACCTAGTAAGTTTGAGGCCAGCCTAGGCTACATCAGACCCTACCTAGTAAGTTTGAGGCCAGCCTAGGCTACATTAGACCCTACCTAGTAAGTTTGAGGCCAGCCTAGGCTACATTAGACCCTACCTAGCAAGTTTGAGGCCAGCCTAGGCTACATCAGGCTCTGACTCAAAAATAAATTAATAGACTGAGTGGCAGTGGGGCACACCTTTAATCCCAGGACTCTGGAGGCAGAAGCAGGCAGATCTCTGAGTTTGAGGCCAGCCCAATCTACAGAATTCCAGGACAGTTGGGGCTACACAGAGAACTGTCTCAAAAAAAAACCCAAATTAATTAATTAGTTAATTAATAGAATCCTGGGCATGGTGAGGAATGTCTTAATCTCAACCCTTGGGAGGTAGAGGTAGGGAGATCTCTGTGAGTTTAAGTCCAGCCTGATCTACATGGTGAGTTCCAGGATAACCAGGGCTACACAGGGAGACACACAAACATATTTTAATTAAGAGATTTGGTGAGATGGGGCAGAGGGTAGAGGAGCATGCCTACAAGCTTGGTGACCTTATTCACCAATGCCTGGAACCCATGTAAAGAAGGAAGAAACAACCAGTTCCACGAAGCTGTCCTCTGAACTCCACACACAGCCACCTCCATATACACAGCGTGTGCGTGTACATAATATTAATAATAATAATAATAAATAGTATTAAGTAAGACAGTGATGGGGCTGAGGAGATGGTTCAGCAAATGCAGGGCAAGCCCGAGGACCTAGGTTCAGATCTGCATCACCCCTATTAAGACCCTTTAGGACTTCACTTTACAGTGTGCTCGTTCTTGTCCCTCCTTCCTGTGCCACTGAGTTCCCACAGTGACAGCGCTATAGTTCCAACCACGATCCTGAGTCTCGGGACCTCAGACTGCCCTAAATGGCTCATTATTCAGGCTTCGGGGCTCCCCCTCTCTATGACTTAACACAAAGTAATAGCTCTACTTTTCGTTCTCTGTCCCCACGTCTGTCCCTTGTGTCTCCATAGAGACAGATCTTCAACCTCCTGTTTGCGCACAGACACCCGGGAGGGTGTTTATGCCACGAGGAGCCTCCTGCAGGTGTGGCGCTCAAGCCCCTGACAAATAGGGTTATCTGAGGCCAACCCTGCCAGGAACTCCTTATTCACCACAGGGAGAGGTCTCAGCCTTGACCCAGAGACAGCTGCTGAGGTGGCTTCTCAGCAGCCCTGCCTCAGACCCTCTTTCCATGGTCTCAGTGGAAGCCACCATATTTTCACGGGGCAGGGATTTCCTGGAAAGTTCCGTGGGTGGCGTTTTTGTTTTGTACTAGGTAATAACCTATGCCCTTTGGGTTTATGAGAGTTGTCACAGGTTCACTGGGGTTCATGCAGGGACTTCCCCGTGTTCTTTCATGAAGGGAACAGAGGCAGAATAGAGGACCACCTGTTCCTCTGTCTCACGTAGAAGGGAGAGGAGCTAAGGCCTTGTTGTGGATAACAGTGCTGTGCTCTGGAGACTTTCTCAGAGGTGATGTTCCTGCTCGCATTCCCTCCTCACAAAGCCCAACCCTCTAGCCAGCAGGGTAACTTCTAGCCCTGTCTGTGTCCCCTTAATGTCTCTGGGAGCTGTATTAATTCGTTAGATGTCCCTGAGTGGTTGTTGGTTTATTTCCGTTTTTTATGGCATTGGGGATGAACCTATCAGTTCATCTATAAACTAGTGCTCTGGCCCGGGAGCCTGGAGAGGAAGGGATGTGAGGAGACATTTGCAGGGAGATTTAGGGAGTGGGTAGGGAGTCATCTCAGAAGCAAAGTGTGCATATTATAGCTATCTATTGCTACATTTAAAAAATCACCCCCAAACTTAGGAATCCTCCCTCTCACGGCCAGAAATCAGGCTAGCTGAATAGTTCTGGTACAGGCTCTAAGGTGTGGCCAAATCTGTGGTCAAGAGCAAGCGTGGCCTGGGCTGAGGGATCTGTTTCTTAAAAGACTCACTCAGGTGGCCAAGGGCCGGAGGCCCTTTAAGGCCCCTTCAGTGCCGTGGCAGCTGGCTCCCGTGTGACCGGCAGGGAGGATAAGACTAAAGCAATCCGTCTCATCATCCGATCTTGGAAGTGATAAGCGGCCACTTCTGCCCTTGTCTGCAGATCACACAGGCCAGCTGTGATCCAGTATAGGAAGGGGCAAGATAAATACGTGAACCAGGGGAAGTGGGATTGTTGGGACCACTTATAGCCCAGCTATCACGAGCTAGCTGTGCTTGGTTGACAGACAGCCTAAGAGAGGGGAGGGGCATTATTATCCATCCCTGGCCTTCTCAAGGACCTGGCAGTCTCCTCCCCCGTCAACTGTCCAGATGTGCTGGAGGCTGATGAAAGTAGAGCCTGTCAATCAGGAGGCTAGCCTGTAGACATTCAGGCCTTTAGCCGCTGCTTCTCCCACTCCTGAACTGGTTTATTGGTCTCCATGGGTCAGAATCAAACCAGAGAATTTTCTGCCCGATATCCCCAGCCAAGCTGAGGTGTTGGGGTTCAAATTTGAGCCCCTGCTGTGATCTTTCTGCAGAGAAGACAGAACAAAGGGCCTAGACTTCCTTCTGGGCCCCACCCGAAGATGGAGTCTTTTCTTTAAAGGGAATGAGGTTGGGGTGGGGTAGGTTCTAGCAACCCCACTGTGGCTGACAGTTTCTCCAGAGTCACAGGTGTCAGCTGGCTGAGCCTCGGCGGAGCCCCGAAATGTGTCACCCCTATCTTCTCATGGCTGGAGGAAGCCTCTGGGACCCCCCAGAAAGTGGCCATGGGGCTCAGGAAAATGTGGCCGGGGTGGAGGTGGAATGGGTCTTCCTAGGTACAGCTTCCAAAAAGGTTAAAAAAAAAAAGGAAAGCCTCTTGTAACCCCATCTAGGCCCTCGCTCATGCCCACCCGGTAGCTCTCTTACAAGAGTGTTTGTGGGACAGCAGATGGTCGCTGTAAAGAGGTCACCACAGGCGGCACCTGGCGCTTCACTTCTCCAGTGCTCTGGTCTCTAGAGCTGTCGGCAGCCTCTCTCTCATAATGCCGGGGCCGGGGGGCGGGGGCGGGGCGGGGAGGGGCGGGGGCTTCCCTTCTCTCCCTTTGGTTACCTCCCCATCTTTTAGCCAGGAAGCACAGAATCCAAGCAGCAAAAATAGCTCCCACCAAGAACTCGAGTTTACCAAAAACACGTGAGAGGATTTTCTACAGTTTTACCTCAGTGGGCCTGAGGATTGGATCCAACGTCTCATACAGGGAAATGCTCTTCCGCTGAGCTGTCTCCAGATGTATTTATTTATTCATTTGTTTCGAGGCAGTGTCTAACTAGGTAGCACAGGTTGGCCTGCAACTCCTGTTCTTCTAGCATGAGTCTCCTAAAACCTGGGATTACCTGTGAGCTACCCATCCGGCTTCTATTTTTTAGCTGATCTATCGAAACATTAAAAATGCGTTTATTAAGCTGGGTGTGGTGCTACAGGCTTTTAATCCAGCAGTCAGGGGGCAGAGTTGGCCAAAATCTGAGTTTGAGGCTAGTCTGGTCTACAGAGCGAGTTCTAGGACAGCCAGGGCAACTCAGAGAAACCCTGTCTATTTTGTCTCTTTAAAGACTTTGTTTTATTTTTTAAATTATTTTTTTCTATAACTGCCTATACCCATTTTCTTAAGCCTACATACATTTTTTTTAAAATACACTGTGACCTGTTTAGAGTCTTTTTTTCCTAAATCTGTCTTTATTGTGTATCTTTTATCATTTTCTGACCAGGAGAGTTTTTAAAATGCTAAGTGGGCATGACCAGGATCAAAACTGAGGCTT